AAGTTGTTCGTGATAGCCGCTAATTCACCTGTATGCTATGATCTTTCACTTTTGTTTATGCACTTTTCAGTGGTCCACTCTCCATTTCCCAAGAAGCTCAAGTCTGAATGCAAGAAGGCGGCAAAGATATTGTCAGAATTTACAGTACCTTCAAGTGCAGTTGGACCAGATAAAATCATCCCAGGTACAGAACCTAATTAGTAACCAGTGTGCTTATGTAAATAACTATGTCTGTGGTCAAAATAAGGTATACCACATTTACAAGTTAATCTTCAATAGAAGCACATACATGTATATGAATCCCAAATTGCATTTGTTGTCTACTGCATCATCAAAATATTGCTAATTTTGTCCATGGAAACACCTATTTTAATTTACGTAAACCACATTAATTTTAATTCCTTGGTGGAAAAAATATATGTTTTACGGTATTTTGATGATATAATAAAGGCTTATAAAGGCATATAATAATGGCTTACACTATTTGCACATGGCATATGCATAGCCAATGTAGACTTCTAGATAGCTATTTGTAAATTTTGAGCAAATAGCAAAAATTGACAATAAAATAGCTATTCATACATACATGGCGATGTATCAACTGTTTTAAGTTAAACCACATGTTTTAATAAAAAATCTACAAATGTTCATTGGTATATGTGTCTTTCAGAAAAGGTTGTTTGACCATGCTAGTAACTGTTATTTACCTGATAATTTTGGGGTGTTAATATTAGTTTGATACTAACTGCGGTACTGCCCAGGCTGGCAAAATTACTGTATGAACTATGATTGTTCTGGACAAAATTCTTTTTTATATACCATGTAATACAATGATTGTTTCACTTCAACAAAAAGTTTATTCAGGGAAATATTGAGTCATGACTTTGACAAAGTCACACTGCGGTCACCAGAATGGCCACCATGTTTGTTACTTAGACTATACAGCTGTTGATTATTTGTTGCATTGATTTCACAAGTGTGTTTATATTTACATTGAAAACACAACCTCAAAAAACATAAAACAAGCTCCAACTATTTGTGCATTCAAAATGATAGATAAGTTTTTTCAAATATAGTGGTTTTTGTTCTGTATTTTTGCCAAAATTATCTTTGTGTAGAATTTTCTTTTTTTCAAATCTAAGTGTTAATAATGGATGTATAGCTCTTCTTGTAGCTGTAAACATTTTGTACTTCTTTCGATAATTTTTTTTAATGAATATACTCAAAACTGCATTAATTTTGAGAGAAAAAAATAGTTTGTGAGTCAAGAGAAAAATCACAAAATATTGAATGTTGTGAAATTTCCTAACAAACATTCCTAAATTATGGAATTGAAAACATTTCCAATGTAAAAAAAGTTAATTATTTACAGTGTAAGTCTACTTTGCCATAGATAAGTAAAAAAAAGGTTAACAACCACCCACAATAAAGTTGAAATATGCTTCTATTTGTTATGTATGCCCATATACACACTGCCATAAATGACAGAGGTTTATCTATTGTCAAAATAAGTCATATTTTAATACTGTAAGCATATGTTAAATGTTTTGTTTATTTGTGCTTTTGTTGGGGATGCACTTCTAATAGAGCAAATAATGGAATTAAAAATACCAACAGAAAACACATGCTTTACTGTACTGTTTTTAATTACCAAATGATTATCTTTATTACATAACAGCTGGGATTATTATGAACTGCTATGGCATTGCTGTAATCACAGTGTTCCGAGCGGCATTCTTTTTTGGTGCCAGAGGTGGAAGTGGTATGGTGGTCTGCAAATTGGACAGATTTACAAATAGTAAGCAATTTGCTTTGTTTTCTTCATCTTTGTTCAATAAATTATTTTTCATTTACTGTGAGATCTTGCGTAATGCTTGAAAAGCCTGGATCAAACGTCTAACATGAAAATTGATTTTTTGAATTTTTTTTCTATACTTCAATGTTGAAATGCCAATC